ATTATGATAGCTATGATAGAAAGTAAAGCATATGAGACCAAAATGATTTGAGAAATGGAAAAACCCAGTAGTCAGGTCCATTTGGATTCCTGTTCTAGGATATTCATTTCATTTAGAAATGTACATTCACTTTTATTATTTCATTTATTCCTCCCAACAATCCTACAAGGAAAGAATTACTGTCAGATAAACAACTGAAGCTGGGTGAAGTGAAATATGTTACCTAACCAAGATCATCCAACTTGTAAGTTCTGAAGTCAGATGTTGAACCCAGTTTTGTCCAGTGACAAAGACGGTGATGAAAGAACACTTTGTAGAGCCACGAAACTTGTTTCTACCTCAGGGCCTTTGCACCTGCTGTTTCCTGATACTTGGAAATTTCATCTAGATCTTCACATGTGAGGGTCTCACTCTTTTACTTCATTTACATCACCCCTACTGAGAGGTTTCTCCTAATCATCCTATTTAAAATAACACGCATGCGCGCACATGAATTAGCGCGATCGCGTACACACACATACACACCCACACACACCAATTACTCTCTAGACCCTGTGCTCCTCAAAGTAAGGTCCAGGGATCAGCAGCAACAGTACGTGGGAGCTTTTAAAGAATTAGAAATCTCAAGCTCCTTCTCAGACCAGTTGAATCAGAATCTGCGTATTAACAAGATCCCCAAGGGATCTTTTTGCATCGAAAGTGTAAAAAGCATTACCCTACACACACGCTGCCCAATAAGAATACAATGTGAGTCACAGGGTAATTTTAAACTTTCTAGTAGCCACATTTAAAAGGTAAAATAAAAGGTAAAATTAATTTTAATAATATAGTTTATTTAACTTATGAGTACTACAATTTCAACATGCAGTCAATATAAAATTATAAATGAGAACTTTAGCATTCCGTGTATTTTACTGTTACAGCATGTTTTAATTTGGACATTTCACATGTTTGATAGCCACATGCAGATAGTATCTCCCATACTGGACACAGGAGCTCTGGGACATCAATTACTTTATTTTTCTTTGCAGGCTTTATCCCCAACAGAATTTTTACTACATATTTTTTGGCTGGTTTGTTTGCTGTCTCCTCTACCCTCCTACTAGAAAGTCAGTTCCAGGAGAACAGGTGCTTCACCTGTCTTATTCACCACTTAATCCCCAGTACCTACACAGTACTGAGCACATGATAAATATTTATTAAATATTTGTTGAATGAACGAATGAACAAAGGATAAGACCTTTCTAGTACTTTTGTGTGGCGGTGTGGTATGGGGGAAGAAACCAGCACTTTGAAATTAGATAGCTGTGCCTTCAAATCTCAGCTCAGGCACTGACCAGCTAAGTGACTGTGAGCTACTCATTTAAAACCCTCTCGGAGTGACCTGTACGATGGAAATGCTGCTATTTAACTCACAGCATCATAATGACACTCACACGGGATAACACATCCACAAAGCACCAACTGTGCCAAAGCTGGCATTCCATAAACTCCAGTGCCATTTAGCATCTCCATTCTCTCTTCAAAATACCCTGTGCAAATAACGCTGCTACCCACTGACCACTTTCCTCTGGGTAGCATGACCATGACTTTTGAGAGCATTTTGCTCTCTAGTTACTTTCCCCTAGCCAATGGGAAGCCTGTATTAACTGTTAACAGTGAAGACAACTTAAAACCACAGAGAATCACTTCCCATCACCCTGGAGCGGAGTAGTTTCCAATGTAAAGTGGTCACAGTTACTGTACAGTCTGTAAGCCACCAGGGAGGAAACAGCTCAAGTCATCTCTGTCACTTTGATAAGTTCTGCAGTGGCAGCCAGTTGGCCTGGCTGGAGGTCCTACTTAGAAGAGTTTAAGGTCTCTGCCTAGACAGCTTTTATCTGCTCATACTGAAAAGATTCATTGTGACTTTGCCCCTTTTTGGGGAGGGAGAGGGAGAAAGAAGTGGAGGGTTTAATCTCACCAATTTATTAATCACTGGCTTATGTCAATCCACCAAGTGAGGCTTGCTTCCCCATAGCATTAACATGGACATCCTAATCCATTAGTCTATCTTGCCCTGAAAATCTGATGCACATGTTCTAATCTCAAATGTGTTTTTACATCACATTAGATCAACAGCATAGGAGCAAAGCAAAGCCCAGATTTAGAAATAACTGGAGCGACACTGAGGGAAAAAATTGCTAGGGCTACTTAGTTGAATATGAGTACACCCCAAGCCCACTGTGTTGAGAGCAGCCCCAGTTTCTTTCTGGCTTTTTCTCTTACTGAAAACACAAAAACACTTGCAAAATTAATAGGCTATGGAAGCACACTTTAAAAAATAATAATAAATAAATATGGGAAAAAAATCAAAACCTTTAATTAACCTGTGGATCTCTAATAAGGCAAATAGACTCCAGACAGCATACCTGGTGTGGGAAGGAATTATATCATTTAAGCACAAACGCCACCATTTAAAAAATTCAGATTTCAAACCAAGAGGAAAGTTTTCTGTTACTGGTTTGAATCAATGCCACTGTTTCCTTTTCTACAATATAGTGAGGATGCCATGCCCTCTTCCTACATGGGAGGGAGAGGGGAGGGAGTCTGAAGAGATGGAACTAATGAAAAGCTCACAAATGCCTCAAAGCAGTGCTGTCTATGATAAACTGGAGAGCTGTCCAAGGCAGTCCCGGCACACTCAGCTTCTGTGGGTCCGAGGAGTTTCTAAGAGCCTTCTCAACAGCCAAGTTTGGGTGGCTAATTATTCCTCTATGTTAGATAGACATGTACTGGCAGGAAGCTTGTTCTTAAGAGAGCTTCTTCTCCAGCACTTCGAATCAGCACCACTAGCCAAGATGCCAGGGTGGGAGATCAGGACAGAGACATACTGCATGGTCCTCTTAAGTGAGGATCAAGGGAATCATGTTCCATCCACATCTCTTCAGTTTAACAGTTGTATGAGTGGCTACCAAATATTGACACTGAGCCCCAAATAGCGCAAGCATTGTTTGCAAAGGAGTAGAAGGCTAGGAGTACCACAGCACTGGAATAGTATCTTCAGTAGTCACGTCATGACAGCAAGGTGGTTCATATACCTTCTCTTCCCAGCATCAGTATAACAGAACATAGGAGAATCTGGCATCTTCTATCCTTTCATTCAGAAAATTATCCAGACAGCATGATGCGACTTCCTGGTACACATTCCACCATACACCCTTCATTAAGTTTAAGTCATCCAAATCAAGCACCCCCTTCTCTATTTCCAGCTACCACAAAGCAACCCCGACACATGGTGGAAAGATTTGATCTTTATGCCTCCCCTCAAGGGGCTTTTGACACCTCTCACAAGATACACAGCATTAAAATTAGAATCGGAAAAAAAAGAAACAAACAAATCACAGTTACCCTCATAGGGCCAAAGCTACTTCACAGAAGAAACCAGAACATTCCTACAACTGACAATTAAAAAACTGAAACCTTCCCAGACATCGTACCCCTTCTTTATTTTGCTGTTGTTGCATTAATCATCCTAACACCTTTTTAATTATAATCACAAACTGGAAGTCATGGCTTGTGATGTTATAAATACTGATTTTCCAGTTAAATTGGGCCTTTGCTGTTTTATGTTTTGATTGGAAGGGGCTGTCTGAAGCCTCCTAAAATACTGCAATTAGTTCTCTCTGTTGAAACAGACAAGACATTAACAGACACATTTGCTGTTTCAGTGTAATGTGCTGGAATGTTTATGCCTAAGTGTACTTCTCTCAAGCTTTTAAAGCATAAGGCATATTTTTAAAAGTGGAAGAAATCAATCACAATACACACATTTATTATATATTGCTGAAGTTAAGTTATTTCTAAAACTTTCCGAGGCTATAATTTAAACCTCGAAAGCACATCTCTTCCACAGAAAGGTGACCTGTCAGGAAACAATCCTTGTTTTACCTATTGGCTCTGTTAAGATGATAACATCACTTCAGCTGACAAAGCCTGTGTTTCTGTTTGACAATTGCAATTAATTACTGAAATGCAATTGAGATGGGGCCAGCCAGCCAGATCTGCTTTCCAGAAAGATATAAAACGGGAGGAAAGAGGGAAAGGGAAAAAAGTGAAAGAGGTTTGCATTTTGGGCATCTGCACCGGTGTTGTTTTAAACGTTATGGCTGGCAAGAAAGCTGGACTATTAATTTATTTCACCTGCACTTAACTTTCTCTCGCTCTCTTCTTCCTTTCTGTCACTACCGGCAGACGGTGGGAGAGGAGGGAGACGAACATCTCACAAAACATAAGCTCCAATCTGTTGCGAAGGAGGTGCAGATCAGGAAGGGCACCACTGTGCAAGGCACGAAAACTCTCAGGGCACCAACTGTCACGCAGACACTGAGGCTCCAATGCAAATCAGCCCGGTGCTCGCTCGGCCAAGGGGGACAGAAAGTTATGGAGGTGGGAAACATCCTGCCTTTACTAGAAAGCCAAAACGCCAGCATCATCTTTTTTAACTGTTCCCTATTCATTTTGCTCTGACCTGAACATACCCAAAGTTGGATTCCAGCCACGCAAAAGGGTTTCAGGGTGATTTTGAGAGATTCCAGGGGATCTCAAAGCCCCTTAGTCAATTTCGCTATCCTGTCTCACCTCTGAGCGTTCCTCCAACGCTGAGTCCCAGAGCCCCGCCAGAGCCTGGGTTAGGAAACACCCCGCAGGCATCAGGGCTGGGGATTCCCAGGCTCGGAGCTGGGCAGATTCAGAAAGCACCTCCTTGGATGAGCCTAAGGCGCAACAGGACAGGGTGACATCTCCTTCCCTCGCCCTGACATAAAGTGATCTTTAGCTAGCTGGAGTGCAGCCCTCTCCTCGGCCGCTCCACCTGAGCAACACTGCCAGGGTCTGCAGAGCCTTCGCGGGGCTAAGGGCTCTCGGGACGGAGTCTGGATTTCGAAGGGCGTGGAAAGCGGCGGCTATCCCCGCTGTCTCCCCAAAGCGTCTCTCCCATCCCGCCGAGCCCAGGGTCCTACCTGTACCACTCCAGCCCCTTTTCGTAGTTCCTGTCGAAGAAGTGCGGCTCTACGCCCACCGCCCTCACGTCCGGGTGTACTCGGATCGCCTCCAGCAGCGCGCGGGTCCCTCCTTTCTTGACCCCGATGATAAGTGCCTGTGGCAGCTTCTTCTCCCCATAATCTGGGGTGCTGACGGCGCCGCCCCTCTCGATGCTCCCGTTGGCCGCTCTCCGGCCTGCGAGCTCCTCGTCGGTGGTGCTGGACTCCTGCGCTTCCCTCTCCAGCAGTGCGCTCTGCGCCGTGATCATCTCGCTGGGGGCCAGCGGGGTCCGGAGCCAGGCGTCCCGGGCGCCTCCGCCGCCGCTCGCCAGCCCCCAGCCGTCGGCCCCGGGGGCAGCTGGCTGCTCAGGGGGCTCGGGCGGCTCCCCGCGGCTCGCGTTGTCCAGCGGCGGCGGCGCAGGCGGCTGCGAGGGGGCGCCGAGGCGCACGGGGAGAGGCGGCAGAGAGGGTGGCGGCGGGCTCGGCGGGGGCTCGGCGGCGGTGACCGAAGGCTCCTGCAGCGCCAGGGGGAATTGCAGGGAGCCCGAGCCGCCCAGGAGGCTATAGCACAGGTAGGTGACAGACAGGGACAAGGTGCACATAAAAAGCAGCTTGCGCGCCGGCGGCCCCTTAGCAGAGGCGCCGGGCGGCGGCGGCGCGGCAAGAGGTGGAGGCGGAGGCGGAGGCGGAGGAGGTGCGGGCCACCGGGCCATCGCGGCTCCCGGCTCGCGGCGGCGGCGGCGGCGGCAGCCCCCGGCGCTGCCCGGACATGGTTTCAGCCGCCGCCCCCGCCGCCGCCGCCGCCGCTGCCCAGCCGCCCCGGCTGCATGAAGCGACGCCGCTGCACCCCCGGCCCTGGCCGCTGTCCCGCTGCGCCAGGAGGGAGCCCGGCCGCATGGCCCCCCTCCCCACTCTGCTCGCGGAGTCCGGGTGGCCCCCCACGTCCCCCCCCTCAGCCTCTGGTAAGGGGACCGAGGGGGGCGCGCGGACCCGCCGGCTGCACCTGCTCCGTCTGCAGCGCCCCCGCTTCCCCGGCTCCGCCGCGGCTCCTGCCTCTGCCTCTGCCGCCGCCGCCGCGCGCTGTTGCAGCCCTGAGTTCCTTCCCCGCTGCTAACTTTCTGCCGGGAGAGAGGAGAGGCGCGGAGGGGAGGAGGAGGGGGCCGGGCGCGCGCTTGGCGCCGCCGAGGGAAGGGGGTGCGCCTCGCGCGCGCCTGCGAAGGGGGGCGCGGGAGCGGAGGCGTGCGCCAGGGCTGGGGCACCCGGGAGAGCGGAGATTGTGCCCCCCCCGCACCCAACATACACGCAGTTGGGGTGTACCCCATCTGACCTCGCGTGCCTCCCTTCCCTTGGGAGCTTGGGACGCCGTATTCTCCCTTCCTCTCCCCAATACTTTCAGGGACTAGAGCCCAAGGCCAGCCGCCGCCGGTGCCTCGCACGGGGGCACAGCGGGTAGCAAGCTGGAGCTTCCGCTTTTCCCCTGAGACTCCAGGCAAACTCAGCCCATCCCTGGCCCTCCCTTCTCTCACCCCGGATTTTCTCCTGCCTTTGCTCCAGGAGTGATTCCTTCAACACAACAGCTTTCCCATCCCAACTTCCATCTTTCCAGCCTGCCCATCTTATCCTGAAGCTCCTGATGGGTGGAGCTTTGCTACAGACCCCCAGATTTCCCAGCCCCAGGGCTTTCCCTTCTGTCCCACCAGCGGGGGGCTGTACTTTCTGCTCCAAGAGATGAGGCTCTTCCTTGACACCTTTAACCACAGGTGCACACACCTGAGCTCCTTGGGGGGGCATGGCCACTAAAGGAGTTAAGGTTTCCGTGGGACTGAAAGAGAATAGGACCGTGGCTTTCAATGCCTAATAAGCAGAGACCAGCTGGGCTGCGGGGTGTCTGTGCATCGCCTCTCTGAATTTTTTTTAAAGTGTATTTTCTTTGCGGAGGGATTTCCACCCCTCACCTCCCTCTGCCGGGTGGAGGGGAAATGGTAAACATCAAAAGGCTTTGGAAGACTGAAAACTAGACTCGCATCCTGTTGCTTTTTGCTCGGAGAAATAAGGGGAAATGGGAGGCTGGACTGGGAGCAAGAGGCAGCGCAGTGCACTGAGGCACTCCAGCGTACTTTGCTTTCTGGGACAGGGGCTGGCCCTGCACACAGCTGGGCCAGGCTCCCCCCAGGCCTCCCCAGTGAGACCCATTTACCCTGCTAGCCACAGCTGGGTGCCTGGCTGGGGCTGCGTTCCCCTTGCCTGCTGCTGTGGCTGGCATCTCCAGTTCTGTTTGATCACATAATAGGAAAACCAGTTGAAAGAAAATGTATATAATGTCTAAATATTAACGAGATACCTAGTGCCAAAGAGCAAAAAAAAAAAAAATGTTAATCAAATAAGATGAAGAACACGGACTTTTCCCTGAGTGAACAAAAGCTCACTGCTGCTCTCAGCTGGACATGAATTTCCTTCACTGCAGCTTTAGTTCAGATAAAGATTATTCCTTTATAATATATTTTTTATGGTACACTGGAGACCTCTGAAATGCAGAGTCTGGTGTCCTGTAAATCATTCTGTGTAACTAGGGATGCTTTTTCAAACACCACACAACTGCATTACCGTAATGTCAATGGGAAGGGGCCAACTGGAGCTGAGAGAAGCACAGGCTCTGCCCAGCCCTCCTTGTGCTCCAAGCCCAGCTCCAGGAAGCTGCAGCGACTCATCTCCCTGTCCAAGCCCAGGCACCAGGGTGCCCAGCTTGTGGCCCAAGCTTTCTTGCAGTTCATGCCTACCACCCAAACTTTCTATCCACCCTCTCAGCTTCCAAACGAACCTGCTCTGTACCCAGTTTTACTAAAGATGTGCTCTCAAATTTGGAAAGATTTTGATAAAATGGTACTAAAATCTAAACCAGAGGTAGTGAAGGGAGAGCTAAAGGTGGCCAGCACAGTGATATTAAGACATTTAAACTGCGTGCAATAGTTTAAAATTGGAGGGCTTTTCCCTAAGGTAAAAATGTGGATAGGAAGTTTCTATCGAAACTTCAGCAGATCCAGAACTTTGGGCTCCTCAGCCAGAGCTGAGAAGCTGCTGCCCCTGTAGATGGAATGCGTGTGCCGTATTTTTCATGGTGCCCGTCCAGACTGCCCCCACACATTTAAGTCACTTGCCTAGACACAGCTAGTAAGAAAACTTCTCAGTATCTCTTTTGCCTCTGATCCTCAAATAGTCATGCTTTATAATAAGAAACTCTCCAAAGAATGGAGCCCCATTGGTAAAATGTCAGGCCCCACAAGTGCTAAGGAGGGGGTGGGTTTTTTTGAAGAGAAGCTTTGTAGATTTCACACATAGGCAGTCGCCTATTTTTTTTTTTTTTTTTTCTACTTTTGAGCTAGGCTTTTTCTAGGAGCAAGTCCTTGAGAAACCTACAATGAAAATTGGGAGCTACCTACATAGGGCCAACTCCAACGTCATTCGGCCATTCACGATGGCTCTGAAGACTAAATAGAATATAATTTTCCATTTCCACTGCCAACGCCCACTCTCATTCAGGCCTTTTTGGGTTTTTTACAAGATTCCTCCAACTGGTCTCCAGGCCTCCGTGTGTTTCATTTCTATTCATCATAGACAATAATAGCAAATCGATCTTTCTGAAGGAATGTTCCTTAGCTCCAATAATGCCCTCCCTGACTCAAGAAACCTTTATCTCACTGCCTAACTAATAAACTCCAACCTCTTTACCTTGTTACACAAGGTCCTCTCCCACGTTTCAGGCATCTGATAGTCCTGCCAACCAAACAGCACATCTTACCCAAACATACACATTGCATTCTTCTATTCTACCTCTGTATTATCAGATGATAGAGTTCAAACAAAACTGTCATTTGCTAGCCAAATGGCTTTTGGACAGGTCGTTTTGTTTCCCTGAACCTCAATTTCTGCATATATAAATTTTGGATATATAAATTACAAATGGTTTTCATAAAGAATTAAATAGAATTAGCTAGCATATCCAAAAATACCTGGCTCCCTGCCTGACGTGGGGCAGCTACCAGTAATTATTTGGATCTAAATATTGGTTCATGCCATGCCCTGCTTTTCCTATTAAAATGTTATTCTTGAAAAATATGCATATACCCTTTCTCAAAACAAGCCCAATGTAAAAGCTGAAGTTCACTTTCCTAAGCTGCTCAGTTCATAGCATTGACAATGCCAAGTCTAATGCCTTCTTAGAGTATTGGTTAACTAATAGATACTAACTCTGGCTAACTTCAGTTTGGGGTTTTTTTGTTTTGTTTTGTAAAGAAAATTACTAGACAGATTTATGGTAACACAAATAACTGGAGGGAATTTTTAAAAATCAACAAACAAAAAGTAAAAATAGGCTTTGGAAAGGAAAGTAGAGTGTATGGTGGTCATTACTGACATTAACCAAGTATTGTCCAATCTCTTTGTGGGCACCTGGTAGGGATACACTTTCTTGGTTCCTTTAAATTAGGTATGATTCTGTGACACTTTGACTGAAGAAACAGGAGCAGAAATGAGGTTTGTCTCTTCCGGACAGAAGCTTTGAGAAACAGTGGGAGATTTGCCACAATCTGCTTTCCCTTCCTGGCAAATTGCAGAGGAAACGGGTTGAGTCTGTCTTAGCCTCCATCTACTCAATCCTGCACATTGAGTAAGGATAACATAAATCCAGCCCCTCAGGACAGGTACATGATCAAGGAACAAACCTATGTTTCAGTCAGCTCCTGAGACTTGGGGCTTCATTGTTACCATAATACAACCTAGACTATCTGATTGATTAATACTATTAATTTTTTTGGGGGGTTGTTGACCAAGATGACTTCATTTCTCCAATAATAGAGTTCCATTACAAAAAGGTAGATAACTAACAGATTAGAAACCTTACCAGTTTAAAAAAAAAGTTTTCTTAACAGTGAGAACAGAACCCTTGTCTCATATATAATAACTCTATTTCCCCATATTTTCCTGTCAGTAAAAAAAGTTTATAGAAATCTGGAAAGAAACCAGGGAAGCCTCCAGGTAAAACCAAGATTGTGACAAAGAGGAATATTATACACTTGTAAAAGAAACAAAAGATTTAAAATACAATAATAATGGTATGAACATATAAGAAAAGGAGCTTATGTGGGAAATAAGGAATTATAATACTTAGAGTAAAAAGAACTACACAACAAAATCTGGTGGATAGAATTAAGCAATACTTACAAGAAAGATTATAGATTCAAATATATTCATCCTAAAAGAATAAAAATTTAAAACAAATGAGCTACATGTTCAACTCAAGAATCTGGAAAAAGAACAAGAGAGAAAGTAAGGAAATAATAAAGATAAGAACCAAACATTGGTTTATATTTATTTGCTGTTTATTTATTGCTATGGACTAAATCGCACTCCCAAAATTCATATGTTGAAGCTCAAACACCGAGTGTGACTGTGTCTGGAGATACGGTCTTTAGGAGGTAATTAAGATTAAATGAACTATGATCTTATAAGAAGAGGAAGAGATCTCCTCCTCCCCTTCTCTCTCTCTCTCTCTCTCTTCCTCTCTCTCGCTCTCTCTCTCTATATATACACACACATACATGAAGACACAGTAAGAAGGCGGCTATCTGTAAGCCAGGAAGAGAGCCTTCACCAGAACTGGACCATGTTGGCCACCTGATCTTGGACTTCCAGTCTCCAAAACTCTGAGACAATAAAT